TACTAATGCACTTTCTTAAAAAAGTGAATTTTAATTTGTTTTCAGTTTCAGATTCTGTCCCTCCCATCTCTTCTTCCAAAAAACCATGGAGAAAACTAGAAAAGACAAAACCCATTATAAATATGTATAGTCAAGCAAAATAAATTCCCACATTAGCCATGTTATATGTTCATATATGTATATAGAAATATATAGACGTATAGAAATATTTACATCTATTCATCTGTATTCAGATAGATCTATCTATCTATCTTTACTTTAATCTGCAACCTGAGTCCATCACCTCTCTACCTGGAGGTGGCTGACATGTTTCATCTTGAGGCCTCTGGGACTATGGTTGGCTCCATTGTGTTGATCAGAGTTCTGAAGCCTTTGTCTTTACGGTACTATTGCTGTATAAACTGTTCTCCTGGTTCTGTTCACTTCACTTTGCAATAGTTCATACAATTCTTTCCAGGTTTTTCTAAAATCATCCCTTCATCATTTCTTATAGCACAACAGCATTCCATCACATACATTCAGCACTTAGCACAGTGCCTGACACATAGTAGATGCTTAATAAATGTTTATTGCCTGACTGACCTACACATACCATAATTTGTTCTGCCATTCCCCAACTGATAGGCACTCCCTCAGTTTCCAATTCTTTGCTACTACAAAAATGGCTGCTATAAACATTTTTGTATATATGGGTCCTTTTCCTCTTTCTTTATTCTCTTTGGGGTATGGACTAGTAGAAGTATCACTGGGCCAAAGGGTATGCACAGTTTAATAGCTTTTTGGGTACTGCTCCAAATTGCTTTCCAGAATGAATGGACCAGTTGATAGCTCTACCAAACAGTGCACTAATGTACCTATTTTCCCACAGCCTCTCCGGCATCTGTCATTTTCCTTTTTTGTCAACTTTGCCAATCTGATGGGTGTGAGATGGTACCTCAGAGTTATTTCGATTTGTATTTCTCTAATTACTAGTGATTTTAGAACATTTTTTTCATATGGCTATTGATAGCTTGGATTTATTGCTCTTAAAACTGTCTAATTCATGTCCTTTGTCCATTTATCAATTGGAGACTAATGCATTCTTGGTGGAATTGTGACTTGATTTAAACATACCGAAAAACAATTTGGAACTATGCAAGAAAAAGTATTGAATTGTTTATACTCTTGGACTCAGAATTGCACTAGGAGGCATGTATCCCAAAGAGGTCAAAAACTGAAATTTCCCATATATATCAAACCATTCATAATTTTTGAGGTCGTAGGGAAATGGAAACCCAAGTGTCTGTGTTTTAGTAAATGGCTGAACCAATCATGGGTTTTTGGTGTAATGGGATGTTATTGTACCACAAGAAATGAAGAATATGAGGAATTAAGAAAAACATGAGAGGAAATGAGTGAACTGACATTGAATGAAGAAAGAGGAACAAGAAGAGTACACGTAATGACTACAAGAATGTAAATGAAAACACTGAAGAGTGGTGCAACTCACATGAAAGGCAATGCTCAGTACAGAGCCAGAGCGTACATGATAAAACATGGCTCCTTCCTCTTGGCAGAGAAGTGATAAGAATCACTATTGAATCACACTGAAGGTAGAGAATGTTGATTGTCACATGTGGTTGTTCCACCAGCTGGTTTTACCTGTTCTTTCTTTGTTACAAGGGAAGGTTCTATAGGGTTGGAGATTGGGGAACAGCAAACAAAAGGCATCAATAAAATGACAAAAAAGAAAAATCAGCTGGCTTAACGTAGGCTTCAGTTTCATAAAGAAGGAAAGGGATTAAGCACAGATATGGATCTGACTTCGTGCATTGTACATTTGTAAGCCCTGCTCCCCTCTTACAGGAAACCATGTAAGCTCCCCCAGGACAGAAGGAATGGAGGACTAGATAGAGATACAAAGTATCAGAGGAGATTCTGAATCAAGCTGGGTCAAGCTGGGATCTGGGGAATTGAAGTTGAGATAAAACAGCACACAAAGCCATGATGAGGAAGAGCATACTTAGTCCTTTTTTTTTTTTTTTTTGACTGGTAATGTGAGTCATATGGACTGTGCAGGTCCAAGGGAAGGGACAGCTGACTCTAGTCAAACTCCAAGAATTCTAAGGTTCCCTTGTAGGTGGTAACCTCACCATTTTGGAACTATAAATAAGGAGGACCATAAGTCTCTGGAAAAGTCAAGGCTCACCACAGGGACATATTTTTAGCAATCCCAGATTCTTTTCCTTTGTGGAAGTGGCCCCACTCAGAGTAAGACTTAAAGTGTGGAGGGCTGCCTAGGGCCCAGGGGAAGTCAAAGGTCCACTGGAGAGTAAAGAGGAGCCATCTTGTTTATAGGCTCAGGTGTGAATCTGTTTGGTTAAATAAAATCGTCCTCATATTAGCCTGAATGCTTACATTTGAATTGAGATCCCCTTTTCCTTTTCATGGAGATCTAGACACGAGCCAAATTCCGATGTTCCCAGAGGAAACCCTGGGTTGGGGTATGTTGGAGTTTTAATGCAGGCCTGCTACTCTTTGGTTGTGTCACTATATTTTCATGGGAATGTAGCATACATTAGTGAGACATTGCAAAGTGCTTTACAAATAAAAGCAAGTAAATGAGAAACATAAACATGATAGCAAAAAGGTACTTAAGTTTCCTCCCAGACACCCTCCTCCATAACTCATCACTGATCTCCTCTTTTAGTTAAGCCATCATGCAAAACAGGACATGCCCCAAAGCAGCTCTTTGACAAAATACCTCGGCATAGCTGTCCTTGTTGGTGTATTCCACCTATCTTCTGTCTGTAGTGTGAGATTCTAGGAGACAGTGTCAAGAGCATTTGATATGATTGGTTCTCTGTCAGGTTGAGTATACAGCAGACGTTTCCAAATTATGATTCCGAAATTCCTAGCTAAGGGAAGGATGATTTCAGCTCTTCCTGAGGATCATGGAGGTTTGAGCTACTGTTGGAGTCCAGTAATTAAGGCCTGCCCCGTGAGGAGACATCTACACCTGGGGACTCAATTCATTAGTCTCCAAGTGTATGAGAAGCAGCTTGGCAGGACAGACTGGTCCTAGATTTGGAGTCGGTAGATGTGGGCTGTATTCCTAGCTCTGCACCTAACGGCTGTGTGACCTTGGAAAGGTTATAGCATCTTTCTAGACCTTGGCTCCTCATCTATAAAATGACAAGGTTCTCTAAGGTACCTTCTGACTCTAAAGCTAGGACCGCAGGAAGTTATTAAGTGCCTACAGTACCTTAGGCACCGTGCTAGGTGCTGGACATAAAAAGTCAAGAGACCAAAAAAAGTGTGTGGGGGGGAAACTATCCCTGCCCTCAGGGAGCTTACACCCTATGGGGAGATACAAAATCGAGAAACGTGGGGAGACCATGGCATCACAGACCAGGAGCTCGAGGGGCCCTAGGAATCAGTGATTCCAACTCCTCATGGTACAGATGCGTGCCAGCAAGGCTAACTAAGTTAACCAAGATCACTTGCCCAAGCTAGTTGGCCTGGCCAAGCCCCAGGCTCGCACCACACGGAATATAGGCCAGGTTTGATTTAAGCAAACGGAAAAGCCGAAGGACTCATCCCTGAGCCCTTCCACGGTCGCGACCCCTCCCCTTTCCCCTCTAGCAGACTTCCCCAAGGACCAGCACAGTGCTCCAGGTCTTCCTGACTCCCTAGTCCAGGGCTCTGCCCGTTGCACCTCGCTGCCTCTTAAAGGGGTTGGGGAGTTGGGGTGGGACCTTCCGACACCCGCCCCGCTCCGGCTTTTGCGCTCTCCACAAATATTTGTGGATGGAACGAAACCACGAATTGCCTGCTCAGGCAGAGGACCAGCACCTCGGGTTTTCCTAGACGCTGCCATGACAACAGGACCGAATCGACTGGAGAGAAAGAGGGGGGCAAAGGGGCTCTTCTTTGTGTAGAGGGACCCCTGGATTCCTTCCCCAGCCGCGGGCGGGAGTGGCACCGGGGGTCGGTCTGTGGGTCTGGGGCCGGCCTCCTCAGCGCACCCTCCGTGCCTCCCGGCTTCCCCGGCCCGGCGAGGGCGGGAGCCCTCATCCCCCTGTGTCCAAGGAGGGCCTGCGTGCGTGCGTGCGTGCCAGAGAGCGGAGACACCTGCTCGCAGCCGGCTCCCGGCCCGGGCCCCGGCCCCGCGCCCGTGGGTGGCACCGCGCCCCGGACAGCCACACAGAGCTCCCCTTCATCGGTCCTCGCCCCTCGCCGCTTCCTTTGTAACCGGCCGTTCTGGCCGCAGCTCGCTCCCCGAGCCCCCCGAGTACCTTACGGGAGGCCGATGCGCCGGGGATGGACGTTCCCACTGCCCAATGGCGAGCAGGAGTCGCCGGAGGATGCACCAATCGTGCCTGGTTGCTGGGCGTCTCCCTTCCCGCCTGGCCAATGGCAAAATTCGTGCTCCGCCGGGCTGGGGGCTCCGAGAAGGGCCTGGGGAGGCCGGGGGGAGGAAGAGGAGGAGGAGGAGGAGGAGCAGCGGCGGCGGCGGCGGCAGCAGCAGGAGGACTGCGTCGTTTCCTTGTCTGTGCTTGGCGTTCCTGCAGCCCCGGGAAGCGCGGGGCCGGGGAGTCCCGGGGACGCCACCGCCCGCGGCCAGGACCCGATCTCCCAGTCCCGATGGAAAGTTTGATGCATGGGGCGAGCTAAGCCCGCCCGCGCCGCGGCTCCCCACCCCTGGCCACGGGAGACCCCCCGAAATCTGCGGAGACAGCCCTAAGCGATCCCGTCCGCAGCCACCGGGCCCTGGCGGCGGCGTCCAACTTTTAGACGGGAGGGACTCCTTGACTGCCTGGCCCGCGGTTCTGTTCCAGAGACTGAGCGCACTTTGCTCTTCTCGGTGTTTTACATTATCCGGGAGAGGGCAAAGACGGAGGGCGGGCCGGGGCAGACCGCGGGTGGCAGGCATCGCAGCTCGCGCGCTGAAGAACGGCACTGCTGGCGGCCAGGGGCGTGCGGAGGAGGCGGTAAACACACACGCACTCCCGGACTCGCACACTCGGACACACACGCACTCACGCGCACCCCAGCGCAAGGGCCATCCTTCGGCGAGACCTGTTTAGTAATAAACCCCCGAGGGACGGAGCGTGAGGGGCCGCGCCGCAGACCAGGTAGGGAAACGCCGCGCCCGGAGACGGGCTGGGAAGCCCGGCTCTTGCTCCCCGCCCTCCCTGTCCTCTCCGGAGGATGCCGGTCGGCCGGCCAGCTGGGGCTTGCCTCGGGTGGGTGCCCTTTGTGGAAGGAGGGCGGGAGACAGGGAGACTGCGCTTGGAGAGGGGGCTGGAAGCGAGTGGTACCGCGGCGCCCCGGGGGTGCGGGCACACCAGGAACCGGGAGGGGCTGGTGCCCGGGCCGCGGCGGGAGGGATGCTGCTTGAGCGGTTGGGGGTGGGGGTTGGATTCTCTTCCTTCGTGATCCTGCAAGGCGGGGCGGGGAAGGCGCCTGGGGAGCCGGGGAGCACCATGCTGTCTCTGGGGAGATCGGGGCCGGAGATGGGGGTGGGGAGGCGGGGATGCTGGCTGCCCTGGCCGAGGAGAAGGAGGGCATCTCGTCAGCTGCGGCGCCGGGGCTGCCCGCGAACCGGGCTTTCCTTTGTTTTGCCAGGGTGACGGCGGGGGGGGTTTCCAGATGCCCCATCCCTGCGGGACTGGGCGCGAAGCTTGGGCGGGGGGTGGGCAGGGTGGGCACTTGCTAGCTCGGGGCTCATCGAGAATCCTCTTCCTCTACCTCTCAGGGTGGGAAATCTCCCGACCTCCAGTGCCCGACATTGTGTGATAATCCCGGCCGTTGACCGGCTGGGAGGGAGGTGGAGGAGAGGCAAGGAAGGAGGGGGCCCGCTGCCCGAGGTATTCGTGGCAAGCCTTGGCTCTCCGCCTGCCCAGGTAGGAGCAGAGCTGGCTGCTTCCCCGCCAAGCGAGAGGTGCCCTCGGCCAAAGGCAGCAGGGCTCGTTCCGCAGCGGCCGCAGCAGCGGTCGTGAGCAGCCCAAGTTTCTCGGGCTCTGCGCCCCCTCTCCCTCTGGGAGGTGCAGAGCCTGCTAGGGGGCTCCCACTGGCCCTCTCCCCGCCGCGCCCCAGCTCTCCCCAATCCCTGTGCCCCCTTCCCCATTGTCTGCTCGAAGTATCTCCGACTGGCTGGGGTGCCCAGGTCCATTTCTTCTGGTCAGTGTTAGAGACAATATGTCAATTACCAGATCTTGAGTGAATTGCATTTTCTATCTCCCTATGCCCCTCCCCCCCTTTCCCTAGTGCTTTCTCTTTGCAAAAATCCCAGAACTTTTTTTTTTTAACCCTAATTCGGAGATGGGAGCCTTTCGTTCTGTCCTGGGAGCCGCAGCTACTCTCTGTGTCTCTGTGTCTCTGAGTGTCTCTGTGTCTCTCCCCCTTCTCTTTCTCTCTCTCTCTCTCCTTCCACCCTCCCCCGCCCCCCCGCGGCTCGAATGCTGCAGTCTGCTTCAGTGTATTGCCAGCTGCAAACTTTGATGGAGGAAGGGAAGTTACTGGGGATGGGGAGAGAACGTGTAAGGGCTCGTCATTTCGGGGGCCTGGGAAGTTAGTGAAACTGCTGGGGGAGATGTTTGGGGGTATGGGCACGGTGGCCAGCAACTTCTCCCCAGAGGGGGAAACTGCGATTTCTTTTTTCCTGGTAGAACGGGCCTTCCTTGCCTCCTAATGATAACTGGTTTCCAGAAAAGCCTGATTTTATGGAAATTAGCGGGAGAAGGGAGCTTGCAGGGAAAGCCAGAGGGATGGCTTTCCACGAGGTAGCTGGGGAGATAATAGCTCCCGGAAGCGGCTTCGAAAATACTAAATTGCTTTGCTTGGATCCACTCTGGGCGAAGGAAGGGTGATGCATTAGGAAAAAAAGAAGAAAAAAACCAGAAAGGAAAAAAAAAATCATTGGATTTGTATTAAGGAGATCTGTCCTGGCCCTGCCCTGCCGCCTAGTACGGGGGGTGACCTTGGACAAGTCCCCTCTCCTCTCAGTGCCTCAGGTCCCTCACCTGTAAAGTGGGAGGTGGGGTTGGTTTCGATGTGAACCAGGCTCTGGGGGCAGCTAGCCTGCTTTGATCCGGGGAAATAGATTTCTGTTGTCTTGGCACCAAAGAATGTTTGTGTGGGTGAGGCTGGGGAAGGAATCTGTGCCACCGTCTTTTCCTGCCTTTCAGAGGCCCTGTGGTCTGGGCTCCATTGCATGATGGTCATTTTCAGGGTAAATGCCTCCCAGTCTCCCGGTGGAATTCTCTGATTTGCCAGCAGCTGAAAACAAGCTGCTTTTTGCTTCCTTTGTCTGGAGTTTCCTCCTCTTTGCTCGATATCCCTGAAGTGTCAATACTTCTGAGAGTGGTGATTCCCCTGGTGAGGGCACTCCCTCTTGAAGCATTGATTGACTGAGCGTGGAATCACCAACCCTGTCTGACCGTCCCACTGTAGTCAGATCTCTGTGCCTCCAATCTAAGGAGGAATATGGCTCCCCTTGACCTCGTGGTTCAGGTGGGATGTTGATGGATGGAAGACTTTAAGGTGATATGTTATTGTATTTTGGATTCCAGACTTGGAGATGCAAGGGACCTCAGAGGCTATGGAATCCATGGTTCCCCCGAAATTGACATTTGACACAGGAGGAAACTGAGGCTCATGAAAGTCAAGTGACTTATCCAAGGTCACACACATAGTATATTTCAAAGGCTGGCTATGTCCCCAGGTCCACCAACTCCAGAGCCAGGGCTCTTTGCCAATTATTATCATTCTAGAGCTCACAGTCAATTAGGAGGATAAACCATAAAGACTGATTCAATAACAATAATAGCTAGCATTTATATAACACCTACTGTGTGCCAGGCACTATGCTAAGCAGTGTGAGGCAGGTGCTATTATTCTCCCCATTTTACAGTTGAGGAAACTGAAACTGGACAGAGGTTAAGTGACTTGCCCAAGGTCACACAGCTAGTAACACAGGGACCCAGTACCCTATCCATTGTACCACCTGACTGGCTACCAATTCAGTTCTATCTAAGTCAAAGTCCACTCAATCAAAGGTCTCACGTGTGCTCATGATGCTAGGTCAAAGCAAAGCTATGCAAAGTATTTCAGAACCAAGTAATACAAAGTGACCATTCATGGTGAGTGGATTAGAGACTGGCCAATAGAGTGCTGGACCTGAACTATGACCTCTAACGGAAGCTGAGCTCTAACAGATGGCTAAGACTAGACTAGGGAAGGGAGGAGAGGGAGGCCATTCTAGGCAGAGCAAGAGGGACAAAAGGAATGTTTGCCCAGACCAGGAACCATAGAGTGCCTGGGTGGAAAGGGACGGAAGGCCTTGAATGCCAGGCAAATATTGGAATTTTTCTTCCTAGGCTGTCAACATGAGCCAATAAGAGGCTTTGGGCAGAGGGTGACAGAAATAGATCTTTGTCGAAGGACGATTATTCTTTGGGTGTGTGTGTGTGTGTGTGTGTGTGTGTGTAAGATGGATTGGATGGAGAAAGGGGAAGGCTTGTTAGAAAGGGCAGGCAGTCCTGGTGGTTGGTAGGGAGATGGAGGAATGGGAAGATGTGGCAGAGGCTAAGACAGCTGGGGAGGGCGGGTTAACCCCTGGCTGACAATCGGGAGCCCCCATGGGAAGAGTAATGGTAGCAGACCCCTGATAGGGCGATGGCAAAGATCAAATGAGATATTATTTATAAAGCACTTTGCAAACTCGAATGCCCTATAAATGCTATTATTAACAATTAATTATTCTAATGATTACATTCTCATTATAATTAATTATTGGTGAACTATAGAATACATAACTAATAAAAGATAAATAATAAAAGTATGGCAAATAGAACTGATTAAAGAATTGTTTTGACAGGCTAGAACATTGGGCTCAATGCGAGGCGACAGTGTGACGTGGGGGCCCAAACACCCAGTCTTCAGCTGCTTTGAGGGGCGTTGCTTCCAGAAATCGGGAGGTGTTGCTTCCCTGGCTTCCTTCAAGACTCAGGCCTACCTTCTGTAGCCTTATCACCCAGAATTCTAGGGCCTTCCCTCTGTCGAGTGTTTCCTTTTTATCCTGTCTGTGTCCAAAGTCATTTGCCAGTTGTCTCCTCTATTAGACTAGGAGCTCCTTGAGGACAGGGACTGGTTTTTGCCTTCCCTTTGTATCCCCAGTGCTTGGCACGGTGCCCGACACATGTTGTTGTTTGGTTATTTCCTGACCCCGTTTTGGGTTTTCTTGGCAAAGATACTGGAGTAGTTTGCCATTTCCTTCTCCAGCTCATTTTACAGATGAGGAAACTGAGGCAAATGGGTGCAGTGACTGGCACCAGGGTCACACAGCTGAGGCCTACTATCTGAGGTCAGATTTGAACTCATCTTCCTGACTCCAGGCCCTGCTGCTCTATCCACCATACCACCTAGCTGTCCTGAAACATAGTAGGTACATAATAGTAGGTGCATAGTAGGTGCTTGTTTGCCTGCCTGCCTGCCAGTTGCATTATGTTCTGTTTTGGTCAGAACACATCTGGAGTATTTGGTTCTGGGTGTCGCAGTTTAGGAAGGCTATTGATAAATTGGAGTTATAAGCTACTCTATGAGAATTGGTTGAAGGAACTGGGAGTGTTTAGGATGGAGAAGAGAAAGCCAGGGGTGGAAGAGAATGTGGTAGGTGTCTTCAGGCATTGGAAGAGCTGCCATGCAGAAGAGAGCTTAGCTTGTCTCTTTTCCCCCAGTGGGGGAGTTACAAATGGAAGCTGTAGGTGAGGAATTTAGGTTTGATGTCAGGCACACCTTCCTAAGACAGAGAGATGGCTGGATGGAGGCCAGGTGCTCAGTGGGCCTTCAGGTCGAGGCCTGTTACTTCTTGAGTCTACAGTGGGGAGTTGTGAGTTGTACTGAGTGGCTGCTGAGGGTCCTTCTAAACCTTAAAATGCTGTGACATTTGAGGGGGATGATAGAGTCATAGATAAAATTCCAATTCATCCCCCAGGTGGCTGATGACATCATAGCTGTTGCCAGAGCTAGAAAGATTGGAGCAGGCGTTCAGGGAAGGGAAGAAGTCCGGTGTAGGTCACCTGTCCCCTCCATGCCCTGCTCACTAGTCTTCTGGAGTGGTTATGGACAAAAC